GGCAGTATGAGGGGTGAGAAATGGCAGTGAGAGAGAAGAGAGGACATGGGTCCCTCTTGCTGAGCTGCCTCTGTCCCAGGGACAGACATTGCAGGATTCCTCATTTTCCTCGTCTTTTGTTTTTTTCATAAAGCAGTTTATTTACAGTTCTAATCCTCAAGCAATCAGCTTCTTTAAACAAGATTATTCGATTTCATTTTTAATTAAGATACAATTACAGTATCCCCACCCCAGTCCTTCTTCTCCCTCAGCTCTTCTCATACCCCATTCCCTCTCAAATCCATAGCCTCTCTTTGTTTAACTATTACACACACACATTATATATATATATATATATATATATATATATATATATATATATATGGAATAATATATAATTTAAGTAAGTATATAATAAATAATATGTAAGTATATATAATGTATATTGAGATATTAATTATGGAGGGTTGATTAAAATGTTTAGGAATGAGTAAAGCATAGGACTCAAGTAAGTTTACCTTCCACTTGATGAAAAAGAGCCCTTTCTACAATGGAAGATGATCGTTAGCCTGAACATATCCAGTGAGAACGTTCATACCCCACTGTGGAGTTGCACATATGTCCTGCAAAGGCCGTGGGACTGGAAATGAGAAGACATGCCCAAGTCTGAACTATACCTCTTTTTCCCTCTTTCTAGGTCTGACCTATTCCTAGTACAAAGCTACTTGCTTTTGTCTCAAACCCCTACTACTTTTTATAACCACCTGTTCCAGAATTGGAAAGAAAATGAGTTGAGACCTCTAACACATAAAGTCTCGTCTGCCTTGGCGTCCCACTTAGTCCCAATTCTAAAAGAGAAAACATAAGCTGACTTTATTTCCAAATGGCAAGCATGCAAGGGTTCGGGGAACCATCCAAATTTAAAATGAGAGGGTGGCCCCAAGAGTCCCTTTCAAAATACAGTTGAAATAGGGAAGCCACAAGGCCACTGACACACAGCTGAATGCAGGAACTTGGGTGACCTGGTGCTGTGACTCTAGGAAAGTCAAAGAAAGAACTGAGGTCATTCCAGACAGCAAATGTGAACAGCAGGACTAGGCAGAGCTATGGGAAACAAATACAGGAATTTGGAGACAGAGCTGCTAGGCCTCTGGCCCTGAAGACACTTCCTGGCTGCCCTTGCTTTCTCTGAGAGGTGTATGGAGGTGGCCCAGAGGGCAACAAAAGGTAAACAGTGGAGTAGGAAAGGAGGCTAGACCTGACTGCAGGACTAAAGGGGAGAACCACCTAAGATGCCCCGAGCAGAAAGCCGAGCAGCGAGGAGCAGCAGACAGGAGGGAGTCCTCTGTCCAGCCTGCTGCTCTCCCTCTGGGGCGGCACTGGCAGAAGCAGACAGCACCCACGGGAGAGTGTGGCTCGTGATTCCCGGAGCTGGGATCAGAGTCAAGAAGGAAGGTGGGCTTAGCACTAAAGCGCTAATGGGTGACTAGCACAAACAGCCCTTGGCCTCTTGTCTCCCACATGTGAAACACAGAGCATTTGAGGCTGCTGTGCAGGGACCTACATGACAGAAAACAAGAACTAGCTAGGTTACAGTGGGTGTGGAGAAGCATTGTTACAATTAACATGTGCATTAGAAAACAGGACGCTGTCAACTCTGAAGCTGTTCTACAAGGGAAAAGGTTATAGATACTACAGGTTCCCCTTTGTTCATGGGGGACATGGTCCAAGACCACACCTATGCCTGAATACTGGACACTGCCTAACCTACGAGGCACAGTAAGAGATCAGTAACAACAAATACAAATCAAAAGAACAATTATTAAAACAATAAGTTGAAATAACAGCTATGTTAAACTGAAACATTTCTGGAATTTTCCATCTAGTATTTTCAGGCCAGAATTGAGTGCAGATAACTGAAACCACAATGTGAAACTACACATAAGAAGGGGTGGCTTAGTTGATTTATTTAGATGAGGCGGTTTCAAATGTGTCTGGCTTGTAAAAGTCATCCTAATCACAGTAATTTGTGTGATTTAATTAATTACCGGGCTATAGGATTATGATCACGTATGCTAATACTAAGGGTCAAATCAACCTTGTTGCTTACTTTAATTACAGCAGCAAGCTTCTGATCACATGACGTTCATGGTGTCTCATACGTACGCTGTAGACACACACGTGGTCCTGAACGTGTTTAGCGGGGACATTGCCGGTTAGTGTTCCGCAGGAGTCAAGGAAGTGACACCCACCGGAGTGACAGAGAAAAACCTGCTCAAAGGATGAGGCGAGCCAGCGCGGGGATGTGATGCCCACCATCAGATATCTGCTTCCCTGGATTAGCAGAAACGACAGTTTTCAGATAGATGGGGATCACTTCAGAGCAGTCATAGATGGCCTACGGTAGGCAGAAAAAGCGAAGAAAGCCGGGGGAGTGTTGGATTTCTGCTGTCGCTCCCACGGTGACCTTCTGTAAATGGCTTTAGTCCCTCACCTATTCCACAGGGATAGAAATATAAAGTTATTTGTTAACAACACTCGCAAGTGCCCAGTGCTTCTCTGAGAACGAGTGGCCAGAGGCTCTCTTAAGCTCTCGCTTCAGTGAAGAAGGCAGGAAAGCCAGCAAGGGCAGGAACCGTGCGGCAGCCGTGGATAACACGGAGCGGGGAGCGAGTGATGGGCAGAGAAGGATGAAAGGGTCCATTTTACAAAGCGAGTAAGGGAGGTTTGTCGGTTTATGTGACATCTGAAGAGATACCAAACGAAGGAGGGAACCGCCAGGGTTTCCTGAGAAGAGCTTTTCCAGTTCCAGGACTTGGGTGCTCAAGGGCCTTGTGGCAGGACATGTGTAGTAGGGACGAGAGTCAGGAGGGCGTGGGTTAAAAATGAGGTCAGAGCGTTGTACGGAAGGAAAGGACAGGGTTAGACCCCAGGAGTACATTATCAAGTCTGGGCAGAAGACTCACATGACCTGGGATGTTTTTAAAGGATCGCTGTTTCTGTGTGAACAGAATGTAAGAGACCAGCTGGGAAGCCGAGGACTTCATCTAGGAAGTCATGCTGTCATCCCAGCTGAAAATGACGATGACTTGGGAAGGGACGTTAGGACCGGAGGAGTTGAAAGGTGATTGGTCTAGACCAATAAATGCAGTTGGTGTTGTACAGTGAGAGAAGCAAAGGGTGCACCCAGAGGCAGGAACAGCAGGGGAAAAGAAGAGGCTTTTGCTAAGTAGAGGAAGGCAGCAGGCTGGGCTGCTGAGTCACCAAGGGCCTGAGCCTGTGTGCAAGGAAAGAACAGTGCAGTCACCAGGAAGAGCGGGAACCGGCTCCCCGAGCCCCCGCCCTGCAAAGCGTCCCTTAGCCGTTCTAATGCTCAAAATGAGCTAATTCCCTGTCCTCCACACCTTCTCATGTGTTCACGGCCTCTCCAGAACATCAACATTGTTACGATAGTGTGCCAGTAACAAGGGGTGGGGGGGCAGCGGACCCTGATTCAGAGAAGTTAATATAGATACTTCGTCATATACTCAAGTAAACACAGAGAAACATTTGATATCAAAACAATATATGAGCCGCGGCCCTCCTACTACCTCAGCATCCTTAACCTCTCTTAAGCATCCCTGGTACTGATTGATTTTTGATAGAAATTCTGTGAAGAGTAAAAATATTTTATTTTTTTTTTCTTAGAATTTCCCAAGACATGCTAAGAAACTGAAAATTTTTCCAAAATCTCCAGGAACGTTTATTAGTTGTAGATTTCTTAACAAACTTTCCTGCTTGTTTTTATTCTTTATCTAAAAATTTAAAACACATTGTTAAAAGGAACAGGCAATGGAGAGGGCTATGTACTAGTATTATATCAACATGTTTAAATAATATTTTATCTGATACCAACTTGAAAAATAACCAACACGTAAATAAATGCATGCGGTCTACATATGAAGAAGCTCAGCCGTTTAAAATTCTTTATTTCAGCCTCATTTGAAATGCCAGTATTCAGTTCACATAGCTCTATACTCTTAAGAATCATCAGCATTTAATTTATGAGTGTTTTTAGATGGAGAGCCTCTGCTGCTTGAAATTCAGTTCAATCCTCTTGTTCTGAGTTGAGGAATACTTATCTCCTATGCTTTTCCCCAAGCCCCCCTCTATGCCCAATTTCCCATAATTAATCTAATCTTTAATCCAAAGTAGAGTGCAGCTCTCACCAAAACCCACCCAGGCCAGGGACACTAACAGAGAGGCAGAGCCAAGGAACAAGTAACACATTTGTCCCGTTGTTGCTATTCTCTGTCCTCAAGGAGCATCTGGCATATGTGACTTCATGTAGCATTTAAAGCTGTGAGTAATGTGGCTTAAGAAATGTTCCCTGCAGCTGGCCAGGAATGGGCTGGTGGGAAGCACGCCAGAATAGACCACAGCCCCACTACCTTCAAGGAGAGCACGGCTTGGGCAGAGGTGCCCATTGGTGCCCAGCTCCAAAACGAGTGCACCCAGTTTTGCCAGAGAGGCAAAGGGGCACACAAGGTCTCTTGTCTCCTGCTTGGCAAGTAAAAGCACTGGAAAGAGCAACAAAACCCTTGCCCGTGTCTTAGGTTTGTGACTCATGGCTTTCAGGATTCAATTACGGTATGACAGGAACCTTTCCAGGCTCCCCCGGGTACACAGTGGAAAGCAGATGTGCCGGTGTTTAGTACAGAAATGCAGCACAGTTGTTCTGGGAAGCCCCAGGTTGACTCCCCACTTTTCTTCATGTGTTTCTAAGATTAGCTTTTCTAACTCGTGACTAGGGGATCATTTCTCTCCAGGAAGAAACTACTTCCAGTTTTAGTAAAAATGTACTGCTTAATGCTTTTCTTTGGGTTTCAACTCCAAGACCTGCTTCAAGCAAGTAGCAAGATTTACCCCAGGTTTTATTGTCATGGTCATCATTGCGAGTTTTTTTTACCTCTCTTGACATTTTCCAGCCCTTTGACTTGGGAAAGAAAGTTGGTTTTGACTGGTCTTCTTTTGAATTTCAGGCATAGTTGCTGTTCTCTTCTGTGGAGTCACACAGGCACATTATACCTACAACAATCTGTCATCTGATTCCAAACTGAGGACCAAGCAGGTAAAGAAAAACTCGTGGCTGGCTTTGTGTCTTTCCTGGTGTGGTAGTTGTGAAGTCACTCTGACAGTGCACGTGGAAAGAATTTCATTAGTAAAGGAAGAAAGTAAGCTTAAGGCTTCATTACAGGTTGGATATTTATAGATTTTTTTCTTCGCTCCAGGATAACCATTAACAATTCTCTTGGTAAGCAAAAATATAGTTATAATAGTCTCTCCCTCCTGAGAGATGTGGAGCATAAACTGTCAGTCTGGAAGATGAAAGGTCTACAGTCGGTAATAATTCACAGTCACTTACATCTAAAGGCATTAGAAACCATGTGGATGTGGTTGGTTATACAGAGAAGAAAATGAAGAAGGATGTGGAAAAATGCTTGGTCTTCAGTTGAGTGTTTTTGTTTCCAAGAAAACTCAACTGCCCATTGCCACATGAGCAAAATGTGTCTCCCTTATTCTGAGGATATGTCGGTTTAGGTACCTGCAGAGGAACATACATAGGCTCCTTCTACTAAGACCCACTTAGCCTTTCTGTGCCAAGCACATCCTGAGTACTAGATATGCAGAGACTAAATATTGCTTTTCCTTTTCAAGGGAGAAACCCCTGTGGAGACAACTGATGAGCACAGGGATATAATAAGCACCCAAGTCACAGTGTGCCAGATACTATGGCAGTAATATCTGGAGAGTATTTGGGGAGCATCCAGTAGGGCATTCTTCCATGGTTGTGGTTGGGAAAGTCAGGAGGAAGTTGCCAGAGACAATGCCCAATCTAGAGCAAGATAAACAATAGAAAGGAGGTACCGAGTCAGATGTAGCAGAAGATAGAGAGTATTAAGAAGGATATTTGAGAAGATGGAGAGATGGCTCAGCAGTTCAGAGCACTGGCTGCTCAGAGGACCTGGGTTCAATTCCCAGTACCCACATGGCAGCTCACAACTGTCTGTATCTCCTGTTCCAGGGGATCCCACACTCTTACACAGACATGCATGTGGGCAAAACACCAATGTACCTAAAATACAAATAAATAAATGATTTTTAAAAAGGAAAGGACACTCAAGGCCAAGGGATTGGCACAGACAAAGTTTCTTTCCGTGAACTTACAAGTAGAGAGAAGCTGAGTCAAAGGGACACGGTGAAGAAGGAGACCACACAGGTAGCTCCAGGCTAAGAAACATGGATGGTACGTGCTTTCTGAAGAAAGTTGAACTTCCTCCTAAAAGCAATAGGATGAAGTGCTTCTCAACCTTCCTAACGCTGCGTCCCTTTAATACCGTCCCTCATGTCGTGGTGACCCCCAACCATAAAATTATGCCGTTGCTGCTTCGTCACAGTAATTTTGCTACTGCTATGAATCATAATGTAGATATCTGATATGCAGGCTATCTGATATGTGATTCCCGTTGGGGTCACGACCCGAAGGTTGGGAACTCCTGGGTTAGAGTAACTAGAAGGGATCATTGTCTCAATGCTTTGGAGTCCAGAAAATGGGGACAACAGTGCTGGCATTATTAGCTCCTTCTGGAGGGAAATAAGTACTGCCTTCTCTTCATTTCCAGTGATTTTCTGGCAATCTTTGCTGTCGTTCCTTGATTTACATATAGATCATCCTGATCTATGCCTTGGTGTCTACATGGTTCTCCCAGACCCCAGCCTATCTCCAAATTTCTTCTTTTGCCAAGAACATCAATCATATTGGGTTTTGACCTACCCTGCTCCAGCATAACCTCCTTTGAACTGATTACATCTACAGTGACCCTTCCTAATAAGGTCATTTTCTGGGGCTCTAAGGATTAGAACTGCAATACATAAATCTGGGGGGAGGATATATAACTTAGTTCAAAAAGCTGTTATTGAAGTATTCAGAACAGAATGATGTTAGGATAATTGGAGCTCTATTTTAGGACCCTCACTCTGGTGGATATGAGGATAACATCCAGCAGTAAGCAGTTGGTTCTCACGTCTGTAAGTGTCCATCTTTTTGACTGATGGACTTGGTGGTTTGTTTGCATGGATTGAGCCATCAGACACTTGTCCAGGTGTCTGTGGATTTGCTGGGGTATGTGTTCTAGGATAAGCTTCACCGGGGCATCTTTGCCAGTGCCATGTGCTATCATTCTGTGAGTACTGAAGCAAGTCCATTTCCAATCATCAGCTTGGATCGCCTCTCCTAATCATCCTATATGGCTCAGTACAAAACAAGATGCCAAGCAAGTGCCCAATGTGCAATGAGTAAGCTTTGCAGTACTATTTGGCAGGGACTGTGGCTATAGGACGTGATGAAGAACTGGACTCAGTGATGAGATCTATCCAAAATGCTAATGAAGCCGGCGGTGGTGGCGCACGCCTTTAATCCCAGCACTTGGGAGGCAGAGGCAGGTGGATCTCTGTGAGTTCGAGGCCAGCCTGGACTACCAAGTGAGTCCCAGGAAAGGCGCAAAGCTACACAGAGAAACCCTATCTCGAAAAACAAAAAAAAAAAAGAAAAAAGAAAATGCTAATGAAGACAGGGGAGCCGAAGACTTCTCATGTGATACTGGGCAGTGGGTGTAGGGAAAGTGCGACAGCATCCTGGCCAAATCTGGAATTGGCCAGGAGTTCCTGGAGGCTGACATGGGGCTCTCTGCAGTAGCTCTGGCTTGCATTCTTCCCTCTCTGTCATGTCTCAATCTTAGCTTGTCCTGATTGTGTCCTCTTGAACAGGGACTCTGCAAGGCCACCCTTCCCCAAGTCCATCACTTCTCTTCAGGTGGATGCTTTAGCGACATCATAAAATACAATTGCTGACATTTTGACAGCCCTCCAGTAAAAGAGAAGTAAATACACCAAAATCCTGATACTAATACCCAGAAACCTCCAATTGCAGGATCTTTTAAATTATGAAGACTGGTAGCACTCTCCTGGGCTTTAAGGGAAATGTCTTGGGCTGATTTTTCCTAGCCTCGTTTGGTCCTCTCAGCATTTGTATTCTGGGAAGCTGAATCCTGTTTAGGGACTTGCACTTTTAAGTCATGCTATCTAGACTGCTCAGCAACACTTCAAAGATAACTCGTCTCATGGTGACACAGCAGTCCAGTACCTCGGGGAGACAAAGCCAAAATCAGTGCCCTACAGCCTTCTGTTCTCCCTCTGAATGTCATGACAAGCACTCCCTGACAGGCTCCCAATCCATCTCATAACACTCTCTCTCCTTACAGAAAGAGGTTTCTACAAGCTTATTCTTTAACATCCAGATAACGGCACACCCCCGCCCTTGCTCCCCCACTGCCTTCTGCCTAGGTGAGGTAGGAGTTTAATAAATGCTGATTCTCTTTCACTCCCTTCTCACGGCTCTCCTTTTCTTACACCACTTCCAATTCACTTTCCTCTAATAACATTTGCATGCATGCATATTTATACATACATGAACACCTATGTGTATGTATGGGGTCAATACATAGCCCACACTCCCATATACAGAGTCTGTGGTCACTGCTCTGCAAAAAAATGAGAGCAGACATACTCAGCCATATCTGCACAGAGTAACAAGAGAAGTTCCAACTCCACATGTGAGTTGGAGACTCACTATGTGTTGTACAGAATCTCCAAAGTATGGGTTACAGATGTGGCCACCACATCCCCACTAAACATGGGGATGCTCTGAAAATACTATGTGACATCACATGGCTGAAGGACACAGTATCTCTTCCCACACTGTGTCCACACTGCCAACAGGAGGATCAGCTGCCTAACCTCTTTGCCTCGCTCTCCAGGACCATATAATGGGACATTAGGAAGCTAACAAGTGACGCCTTGAGGGAAATCTATATAAATCAACTCTGTGTTATAAAACCTAAAGGTGATACAATTGTGAAGGAATTTTATCCATCAACTTTGTCTGTTCTAGCTAATCCAGACATGGCTGGAATAGAGTGTACCAAGGACAGTGTAAAAGACGGCAGCCTAGCAGCAAGGGCCAGGTCACAGAGCATCTGAACGATGTCAAGAAACCCTTGAGCACCTTCCTACAGGCATGTATGTGCTGTGACTTAATAGCAGAGGTGTCGTCATGAGCCAGGGAAGGGTGTGAGGCTAACTGGCTGGAGGACAATCAGGAGCCTGTGCTGACTTGTTCAACTGGGGTGTGCATTAGGCAGTAAACTGGAACTGTAGAGTCACCAGCTGGACAGAGAGTCCTTACTGTCCAGGGAAAATGTCTAGGCCAGATGTGCAATGTTGGAAGTCATCAGCATGTAGCTAATATTGGACCTAGTGGGAAGTCATAGGTCACTGGGGATATACCCTTAAGGAGAACTGTGAAACCCCGTCTCCTCTGCTTCCTGACCATGGGGTGAAAGGTTTTACACCACTACACACTTCTGTGATGTGTTGCCCCACCACAGGCATTTAAACAAAGCCAACCAATCCTGAACTATACCTTTAAAGCTATGAGTTAAAACCATTTTTCTCACTTTATAAATTAATTGTCTCAAATATGTTGTTATAGTCAGTAAAAAAAGAAAAGAAAAGAAAATCGGTGACAGTATCCCCTCCTAGAAATCAAAGGGAGATACCAGCTCATTAAGGAGTGTGGTGAATTATGTCAATGGTGATGAAATATCAAGAAAAATGGGAAATGTGAAGGTTGTTGACACTGATACCACAGACTGGCAGAGTGGCATGGTAAAACTCAATAAAAACAAGTCCAAGACATAAGAGGAGGAAAGAAATTTGAGCCTTGTAGTGTGTAGACAAGCCCTCCAAAGGGATTCTGCTGCAAAGGGACCAACAAAATGAATTGAGTAGCTGGCTGTATTGAACAAAGGGGAGAATTAGCCATCCTTGTGTGTGCTGTGGAGTGATATGAAGACTAGGTAACCAGTCAGAAGGTTTGCCAAGTCTTCCCAGAGGCAGACTTCAGCTTCAGACTGTCTGCTACTTTGGATCAAATGATTGGGCCTCTTAATAAATGCTTGTTATTAATAGGCAAGAGGGTACCAGTTAACTTATTCAGTAAGGCTTTCATGA